ACAATAAAAGACGCTTCGCGATGATAATCACTCATGAGAATTTTCAGGAAAATGTTTTCGGCGAGTGATATCTTTTGCTCAAGAGAAAATAAAAGGCGCGCTCGTGGCAGTACAAAGACTTCTAGATGAATTAAAAATAATGTTTTTTTGTAATATATATACAAGTGAAAATTGTTATTTCTTAAATTTAGCGTTATAATATGTCAGAGCTTATCACGAAGCTGAAGACGTTTTTTCCGTGATATGTAATCATACATACGCTGTTAAACATTAAAGAGAATTCGCTTCAAAATGAAAATTCACATTGTCTTAGAAAATTCCACTTCACTCATTGTTGTGGGTTGGGTAGGTAGAGGTGGAACCCTTAAATCACGCCTGTTTCGAGCGACTGTCAGTCTTACGTCAAAGTTATCAGAATACGAACAAAAAATTTCAAGTTAATTATGACTTTTATCCCTTTTTAAGTCTTTTATACTTTCTTGTTTTGTTGAGAATAGCATAAAAACATTATTTAAGCATGACATCTTCGCTATCAGGCAAACCTATCATCAAAAACCACAAAACATGGAATCGTCTCTATAACAGAAGATTGACTCACAAACAATTGTTAAAGAACAAAGCACTATGCCATTATTGGTCACCACAGTCGGGGATTGATTGTGACTCAATAATTGGCTATCCTTAAAATATAATTTGGAAGGAGATGTATCATGAAGTTCATATTGAAGTTTGACCTTAGTACACTTTTTTTCGCACAGCAATCTTCGTTTTTGAACACGGAGTGTACATATGAATCGTTTTGATCGCTCCAGAAGTATGTGTACCAATAATAATTATTTAATTTTGTTCGCCTATCTTACATCAAGTTGTGTAAAGGGACTGAAACCTATGGACATGGGGTCTATTCACTTGGCTAACACAGACAGTCCCCGAACTCGTAATAGAACTAAAATAAGGAAAATCGAAATAAAATTAGGGCCTAACCCTAACCTGGTACGCATACTTCGGGAGTATCTCGTTTTCTTATTAATTAGGCTTCCCGCTGCTTGTCAGCAGGGAACCTATTGTATTCCTGTGTTTTATTATTTATTATTATTATTATTATTATTATTATTATTATTATTATTATTATTATTATTATTATTATTATTATTTTTTTTTTTCAAACTGGTCCTACAAACTTGAAATTCACCTCAAATGTGCAGAAGTTCTCAGCTAGCAATAAAATGCAAATTTTATGCATGACTGACCATGCTTTCACGCTCCAGTGAGCAAAACGCGTTTTCAGTTTTTTTGCGATTTCTCAAAATTGATACATGCTATTGGGTTGAAATTCATAACAATGATTAATGGACATGTTCCGGATACGATATGTCAAGGATACGCATGAGTGACCTCGGCGATACGCTCCAGTGATCAATATAGGATTTTACATTTTCAACTTCTTCTCGAGAACGACACTACTTAGAGACTTGAAATTTACATCACATGCAGATAATAAGTCCCCCATCATAAATTGCAAATTTTATGCATGAGTGACCACGCTTTCACGCTCCAGTGAACAAAACGCGTTTTCAGTTTTTTTGCGATTTCTCAAAATTAATACATGCTATTGGGTTGAAATTCATAACAATGATTAATGGACATGTTCCGGATACGATATTTTAAGGACACGCATGAGTGACCTCGGCGATACGCTCCAGTAAGCAATATCGGATTTTACATTTTCATCTTCTTCTTGAGAACGACACTACTTAGAGACTTGAAATTAACATCACATGCAGATAATAAGTCCCCCATCATAAATTGCGAATTTTATGCATGACTGACCACGCTTTCACGCTCCAGTGAGCAAAACGCGTCTTCAGTTTTTTTGCAATTTCTCAAAATTGATACATGCTATTGGGTTGAAATTCATAACAATGATTAATGGACATGTTCCGGATACGCTTTGTCAAGGATACGCATGAGTGACCTCGGCGATACGCTCCAGTGAGCAATATAGGATTTTACATTTTCATCTTCTTCTCGAGAACGACACTACTTAGAGACTCGAAATTTACATCACATGCGGATAATAAGTCCCCTATCATAAATTGCAAATTTTATGCATGACTGACAACGCTTTCACGCTCCAGTGAGCAAAACGCGTCTTCAGTTTTTTTTACGCGGGAAGCCTGTTAAAGCTGCACGCAGCTCTAGTTATTATTTATTTTTATTATTTTTTTTTCAAATTGGTCCTACAAACTTGAAATTCACCTCAAATGTGCAGAAGTTCTCAGCTAGCAATAAAATGCAAATTTTATGCATGACTGACCACGCTTTCACGCTCCAGTGAGCAAAACGCGTTTTCAGTTTTTTTGCGATTTCTCAAAATTGATACATGCTATTGGGTTGAAATTCATAACAGTGATTAATGGACATGTTCCGGATACGATATGTCAAGGATACGCATGAGTGACCTCGGCGATACGCTCCAGTGAGCAATATAGGATTTTACATTTTCCTCTTCTTCTCGAGAACGACACTACTTAGAGACTTGAAATTTACACCACATGCAGATAATAAGTCCCCCGTCATAAATTGCAAATTTTATGCATGACTGACCACGCTTTCACGCTCCAGTGAGCAAAACGCGTTTTCAGTTTTTTTGCGATTTCTCAAAATTGATACATGCTATTGGGTTGAAATTCATAACAGTGATTAATGGACATGTTCCGGATACGATATGTCAAGGATACGCATGAGTGACCTCGGCGATACGCTCCAGTGAGCAATATAGGATTTTACATTTTCATCTTCTTCTCGAGAACGACACTACTTAGAGACTTGAAATTCACATCACATGCAGATAATAAGTCCCCCGTCATAAATTGCAAATTTTATGCATGACTGACCACGCTTTCACGCTCCAGTGAGCAAAACGCGTTTTCATTTTTTTTGCGATTTCTCAAAATTGATACATGCTATTGGGTTGAAATTCATAACAATGATTAATGGGCATGTTCCGGATACGCTATGTCAAGGATACGCATGAGTGATTTCGGCGATACGCTCCAGTGAGCAATATAGGATTTTACATTTTCATCTTCTTCTCGAGAACGACACTACTTAGAGACTTGAAATTTACATCACATGCAGATAATAAGTCCCCCATCATAAATTGCAAATTTTATGCATGACTGACCACGCATTCACGCACCAGTGAGCAAAACGCGTCTTCAGTTTTTTTTACGCGGGAAGCCTGTTAAAGCTGCACGCAGCTCTAGTTATCATGTTGTTGTTCGTGTTTTTTCAATTCAATCGACTTTCAATTATTCCTCTTCTGTAGTTTATGTACCCAATTTCTCGACGTTTCTTTGTATGAATGGTTTGTAAAAATATTTACGTGATGTATAATTACACCATGTCATCGTCACAGCACGTCTGAATACAAACATACACAAACACGAATGAGCTTGACCCCGTATCTAGCTCAATTCATTAAATTTATTTCTGGTTGACAACAAGCAATCGGCATTTTACAAACCAATTATTTGATCAAAGACAAACAAAAAAATACTCTGAAGTCAGCACGTTTCTCATGTCAGCGCTCACAAAGGTGCAAATCGAGCGTTTGTAAATGATTGCTATTGCGTTAAATATAAGTTTGTTAATCACTAAGTTAGCAGAGGAAAAATTCTTGGATAAAGTACAAGTGGCAATTATTCTCAAAAATTACTTTATTTTTGTAAAAAGAAGAAATCACTATAATTACGATAAAAACCACGAGTAAAAATGACAAGTTTGATTTCACATTAGATTGACAATGGTGTGAACTTTGTGACGTTACAATACATAACAATTGCCAATGAGTCACATCCCGGAAGTCAGAGCAGACTGGGATAAAATTGGAAAATTTTGTTGAGGAATTGTCGAATTCCATACTTTATTCCCACGGATTGCTGCTATTCACTGAAACAACATTCCCATCATTAGAATGTATCTGTATACACCTGTGACGTCATAAATTACCATAGAATTGTATTGCTAAGGGTTGCGAATCGCTTTTTTCCCGTCTATTGTTCAATCAATTTTAGAATTATTACTATTCAGAATTTAAAGTAGCCGCTAGAAGGCTATCGCTCCGCGGTTTCCCAATATTTCACCCTACATTTTGCGGGTTTAAATATGTCACGGTAACACTTGCATATGACATTCGATATATTTATTTGACATATAGTAGTTGAATTTTACTCGACTCGATTTATTTTGTTCAGAGTCATTATTTAGTTGTTTATTTTAAATGAATATAACTTAAATTGAAATGAAAATATGTAGAAGAAAATCATATATCTAACTAATTATAACACGAGTCCTAACAGATACTTGGAAAAAAAACAGAAAAAATAACGTGGCTTGGTAATATAAAAATCCATTCACCATCTTCGTTTCCCATCTAATAGCCAGACCTAAATGCAAAAAAAGGTTAGATTGCGACAGCACAACTCTTCTTTTCAAAAATAAACAATAATCGAATATTAAGATAGCTACTCTGCAGTGTTGTCACTGTACCGAGCTGTGGAGTGGGTGTGATTGCCTTGTGGTTAAAAGGAAAATGGTAGACTTAACTATATTGGTATCACAGCCGGAAATCTTAGGTTCAAATCCCAAGCCCCCATCTTAGCCAGAGTACGGTAAATTGAGTTGTCAATGCCAAACTGGAATGATACCTGTCCTTCCCAACTGTGGTATACGACCTAACTATTAGTGGCTGTTTGCGCAGACTCGAAGTTGTTAGTCTTGTCAAAATTATCGGTGGATGCTAATGTCCTGGTCGACCTCGAAAATCGACAACATTTGAGCCCATACGAACTATAAAAATCGTTACAAAAACAAATAGATGCTGAATTGTCTGGGAAATAGGAAAAAGTACACGTTATTTTCTTCTTCGCAATTTTCAGCTCACAGTTAGCAAAATGAATAAGTTCCTCAGAGTTGAATGCAGATAAAGCCAAAAGCTAAATTTGCAAAGGGAATTGAGGTGAATATGGACTGACAGTCGGAGAAGGTATTTCATTTTCATATACGCTTCCGGCCGGAAGGTTTTCGACTCTATTGACACCGATATGCCCCTGGATGGGTCTATCCAGAACTGTTTGCTCCTTTTCCTGCATCTGAGTACAGCTGTTCTGAACTTGCAGGGATTCTTCAATATCACCATTTCGTTGAGTCAACGTTTCATTCACGTTATTTTGCTGATTCATATTATCAGTGTCATCGTATTGTTGATTCGCAGTCTCGGTATTTATTACGTAACAGCTCTCATCTGCTTGAAATCTGTCGTCTTCGTCTCGGTCTTTGAATGAAAGTTCGGCATACTGCAGTGCTGACTGTTCGATATTCCTCTGCTGTTCAATAAAATAAAGTATATCCTTGAGAACAATATGACGGTTTCTTGTACCAGTGTCTCCCAACCTATGGGTCGCGACCTGAAACTGGTCTGCTTGGGCCGCCCGTTTTGCGACAAAAACATTATCTATTTAATTCCATTTCATATTGGGTATTGTAGTGTTGCTAAATCGCAATGTTATGGAAAAGCAATTTCAACAAAACTCAAGTTTTACGGAAGAAATTGCCAAATCGCAATTACCAGTATATGTAGGTTTGTGTAAGTACGTCATATTGATACTTACTTCTGGTTTTGTTGACATTTGTGGATAGTATGGCGAACTTCGATTACCGGCAGTGTTCGGAGATGATGTAAATGACGTCATATGTCTTCCTTGCGCTGGCGAGGACGTCGGATCACGTGACCTGAATGATTCCTGGGAGATTCTGTCTTCAGTTGAAATTCGAGATGAATAGTGAGTCCGCTGTAGAGATAGAGTTGAAGCATTCTCTTGTACTGAATACAGAAATTAAAGTAGAATCGACAAATCGGACAAGAAGAGTCTCAATGGCTAAAATCAGTACCAAACTTGCCAATATAAGTTAAGAATTTAGTAATGCCAATGGTCTGGTGGGGTTAATATCAACTACATATAACTTGAGATATGTAATTGCTGAAATCAGGACATGTCTACCGCTCACCATACGTTGGACACATAAGCAAAGTCACAAGGCTGGTGAAGCCTATGTCATTGACTCGAATTCAGTCACCAATTATTCAAGACTCGTGTCATCTAAATAAAATGGAATTGTACTCATTTAACTGCCAGTGAACCTAAAATCACTGACTAACGCAACTTTGTACCCCGCTCGAAATATGGATACTCAGGGACTTGACTCGGAGCCGAACACTGCGCAATGTATCAACAATAAGGAAAAAGATTACTCACAAAAAGTGGGGGAATAATAGAGGCAGTTGCCTCGGGCAAGTTGTTGCAGAAGCAGCAGTTTCAAGCTGTGGGATGATTCAATTATTGATACAAATGACTCTTACTTGACTTTTAGATTTATTTGTTCCCGAGTACAACACATCTATAATTTGTTAAGCCACCGAATTGTTTTTGAAGTTAGGTATAAGGGACGGGCATTATCAGAAACTTTCTCTGGGCAGCAGGAAAAGGAAGAAAAGATTCAACAAAACGAAGGTTGACTTACCTTTGTTTCTCGATTGCGTTGTCTTGGATAAATTTAAACTGCTATGCATTGAACTATGTGGAGCTTGTAGAAGGTCTGTGATTTCAAAAAAAATGTGTTTTTCACAATATATGGCGGATTGAAACAGCCAAAAATGATGGATGCCTTTGCCCTAATGTTCAATCAAAATCGTCATTTCAATTAGAATGCTGGAATAGGTCTTACGATTTTTAAAATGATCTAAATGATAAATGATCCTCTAAATCGATTAGGTCTTCATAGGATATACAAGAGAGCTGTGCTCAAATATATGGACACGTCACAAGGTGTCGTTATTTTTTATTCTGACACATAAAAAACGAATCTATTGAAGTCCACAGAAATTTTTGAAATAAGTAAAAGTAATAGCCTTTTGGCAAAAAAATCAATCTTTAACCACTGAAAATTTCAAAGCAATTGGTCCAGTATTCAAAGAGAAAAGCGATTTCATCATGACGAAAGTGAAGAATACTACTACATGAACAACATAATGAAACGATCGTTATGTACTCTGACGTATTCAAAAATCATTTTTGAGGTTGATACTAAACAAAGATCAAATTTCACAAACATCTGTCACTCGATGAGCTTTGAGCAATTTCTCTTGATTCTTATACTTACCGATTGTTGAAATCGGAGGCGACATTGGATAATTATTTATAATAGCATACGTTTCTTCCTCATCTAGTTCTTGTGGTATAATGTGCGAGTTAATTGTCTCTTGGAGGGGTGTGGCGGGGGTTGGCCTGAAGGTATCTGAGATGTGACCGTACTCTGGATTCATGAAATCAAAACTAACTTGCGTTCCAAAGCCTGGTGAGAAGAATAGAAATCGGAAAATGTTAAATTTGGCAAATTCCGATTTTGTCATACATTCCCGATATACGGATATATGAAGACTGGCAATACCTATACTGATAGCCTAAATCGGCATATCCCTTATAGAGTTGGAATGGATCCATAATGATCCCCAAAGGGAACTCCATCGCATACCAAAGTAGAACTAATTGTGGTACCTTTTTGCTGTGTGTTTATTATATTGAGGACATTGTCATAGAATTCAGTTCATAACCCTCACTAAAATCACTGATATCACAAAACCGCTGATAAAAAATGACTTATAAAAGTCTAAGACATGTAGAAGCAACGAGGAGGAGGTGCTACATGAAGTAGGAATTTATATTTTCAGTTAGTATTGTCTGGGAAACAGATCAATAAAAGAGAGATTCGCAAACCAAGATTTCGACATAGAAATGCGTTAACAAGTGGGAACAATATTGAACTGATATATATATTTATATGTATAGATATGAATATGCAAAAAAAAACACTTAAAATAAATAATTTGAATGTTGCTGTTTATTATAAGGGTAATTTTCTCAAACGAAGTAACGAACATTTGATTTTCTGATATAAAACACATATACACTTACCATCGCTTTGTGGGCGAACTTTTTCCTTTTTCTTTTTGCAGCATAACACAATGACAACGACTAACGCAATCAATAAAATCACACAAGCCGTCCCAACTGTGATAAAAAGAATTTTTGAACTCAGTGTCGTAAACGACTCACGATTAACTTTATGCTATGAATACTATCAAGCAGAATAGCTCGAACTTTTTGTGGCGAGATTTGAAAAGCAAACGTGATTTTGGATCTTCGCAATACGTACCAATTGCAACAAGCACATTCATATTGACAGGTGAACTTTCCGGTTTTGTTTCAATGGTTGTTTGGTTCCAGACTCCAATCACCACTTGCTGTAGTATGATTGACATTTGTCAACGATCGCGTGACTCCTTTCGGCAGTATTGCTCTTACCTGGACAATAATATAACATAAGATAGCAATGCTCATAATGTATATGAGAACGGAGGAGGAATCAATAATACAGTCCCAATGGTCGCACAATTTCAGACCAAAATTTGGCCGAATTGTCAAATTTGTTGCACTTTGAGTATCATTAGCTATTATGGCCAAGGCTTGTCTAAACTCTAAATCACTTAGGTTTATTCCGATTTCAATAAGATTTGAAAACGATTCAAATTTTAGATAAGAAGTGCTATTTAACTCCCGTTTTTAAGCATGATAAAATATACTCCTGCCATACAAGATCGGTTATAATCAAATCTTTGGTTCTCCCGTAGTATCTGAACCAAAGAGAGTGGACACCGGGAACCTAGTATGTGTACCAAGTTAGAGGTAGGCCATAATTTTATTCCAATTTTCCTTATTTCAGTTATATTATAAGTTCGTGGACTAGCTAAATGACTCTCGTAGTATTTTTTCCTGAAATTGTTGCCTAACCCTATCCTGGTACTCATACTACGTTCAGGTGTCCGCCATCTTGGTTCACATACTACGGGAGTACCCAATCTTTATAGATAAACTTGCATGGCGGGCCAGGTTGTGGTCGCCGCACTATTACGTAGGTCGTATTCAGTTATATCTTGTCAATGAACGGAAGCGCAAGAGGTTGTCGTGTAACAAAGGCATGAAGGTCAATAGAACAATAAAATCTGTAGCCCTCGTAAAAGAATTCTCAAATTAAGATTCTCATTCCTCGTGAAAAATATACGGAAAATAAGAGTTGAAAACACTCGACGCTAATTTCAATGCTTGAGAAAACGTGTTGCTAACTATAGATATTCAATATATCGCCTTCTTTAATATACCGTCTATTTCAATATGTTCGGTTGTTTTTTTTCCAACTTCACACACAACATAAGCTTTCCAAGTTGGAAGCCTCGATCTCCATTTCCAATCTACGCTTTGGTCAAGCACAACGTGGGTTCTTCCGTTTGCGAATACTTTCTGTGTTGAATACCAGTTCTCTTCATACGCCGTCACCTAGAAAACATAAATAAGATTACTCTCTGGGCATAGTGAAGCGTGCACAAGTTATTCTATAAGCCATCTGCGCGATGGCGCAGCCGTTCCCTAAGTTTTTGTTCGCGCGACACAAATTATTAAGAAAATACCTGACGGCGCACTTACACAAAAAAATTTCTGCATTCATATAAAACTCAATTTTGTTGTCGTTAACGTGCACTTCATGCTTTAAATAGTTTGCAAACATGTGGGGCTAGAGAATAGCGGAAAATGTCAACTCTTTTCCCTTACACTTGCCTTATTGTACACGCAGTGGACATAACGATCGTTTCAATATAATGTTCTTGTTGTTCTTGTAAAATTCGCTTTTCTCTTTGATTACTGGACCAATTGCCAGGCTATTAGTTTTACTGCTTTCAAAAAATTCTGGGGACTTCAAGAGATTCATTTATTATGTGTCAGAATAAAAAAAATAGCGACATCTTGTGGTGTGTCCATATATTTGAGCATAGTTCTCTTGTTTTCCTTTGAAATATTAACAAAATACTTTGGCAATCGCTGGTAGTATGCTAAATCGAGTAGGTCCTTACGGATCATGCAAGTTTGAGAACCACACGCATCGAACAATTTACAACAAACCTTCTCTCCGTCTGAGTGTTGCCACATTTTATTTTCTTCACTCCATTTAATGTCCAACCAGACACGAACGTTGTCTAACTCAGACCGTTTCATGTCAAAGTAATTTCCTGTCGATACGGCTAATTCTAAGCTCTCTAGCGACGCCAAGTGTCCATGGTGTGTCATCTCGCAAAAGTTTATGGCAGATGTAAACGTCATGACGTCATCAGAAACTGCATAACACTTGTTGTTTTGTCGGAACGTGCTGTTGACGCAGTCACCCAAATCAACATCAACTGAATAAAGATGGAGGACTGGCCAGTTTGACGGAATGACAAGTGGTGGCGCAATATGAGAAAACTCGTCAAAATAGGTGAAATATCGGGATGAGTCGGGAAAATTTTTTTCAAAATTTCAAAAAATGAAAGTAATACCCCCCTTAAAATATTTACTGAGAGTTTTACATTGATTGGTCCATAAGTAGCGAAGAAATGCTCTTTTCATCAACAACAAAAACGGCAATTTCGCAGAACGATCCATACACCTTTGTTCAAGGGCGAAAAGAAATCAAAGAGCTATCTGAATATTTGGAACCGAATGTTTAAACGAGCTCTTTGAAGAGGCCTGCTTTTTGTATCCCTTGTTGAAGATTTTTTCCAAATTCAGAATAAAGAACATATAGCCTATGACCTATGTGGATATACCGTGTTTCCCCGAAAATAGGACTGGGCCTTTTTTTAATTTTTTTTTTTGAAAAATAACACTGGGGCTTAAGTTGGGGGATATATTTAATTTTCATTTATTAAAAACAAAATGACAAAGTAGAGAATTACGAGATTTTCAAATATATAAATTTGATACAAATTTCTCGCTACTGACTAGGTCTTATTTTGAGGGAAGGGTTTATATTAGAATCATTTTCAAGATTCAGGCTAGGTCTTATTGTCGGGGAAACACGGTATAGGCTTTCGGTCGTAGTTGCAAGTTAACTCACGTTTCGGTGCTTGGCAGATATATTCATGATTAGCTGTGCACAACTCTCCTTTCCACTTTGAATATTCCGGTGTAGACTGGTCAGTCAATGCTCCACAATATCCTGAACCAGACGACCCCGGATCGTCAGAATAGATTTCGCCTAGAACGGAAGGACCTGAAAAGCAAATGTAATTATGAGATAAGACAACTTTTTGACAAGGAGTATAGAATTTTGATCATTTGCTAAATTGTTGGTGCTACACACATTGTTGTTGGGGTTTGGAAAATCTTTTTTTCTGCAGCTGCTGATGAATCAATCGATTCAAAGTTTGCATCACTTTAAGCTAGAAAAAGTGTCGAGGGGACTATGACTTTTATTGTTTTCAAAATTCACCTGGGTCCTATATTATATATGAGTATAACCATTTGGCATTGTAAGGCTAAGTGGGTACAATACAAACGCTCATTATAGTTAGAGCACTGGCCTAAACTGTATTGGCACTGCAGGTTACACATGTAACCCTGGGCTAGGGCTACTCAACAATTTTTACTGAAGATTCGTATACAAAACTTCAAAAATATTTGGGTCCGGTCTTTCCAGAAATTGTATTTCGGCATCCTCAAACACGCACTTCCTCGACCGACTAATGATTATTAGCAAATCAAGATCGTCTATTATGGCGTTATAGCTCGTTTCATATATATTTTATTTTATGAAAAAGATTTTATAAAAATCTTAATAAACTTCAAAAGTGGGGCTAATGATCCATTATAAAAAAATCAGGCGCGGTCCGAATCGAATACACGAAAGGTCCGCCGGATTCGGACCCGCGCTCCGCCAGTTGAGTAGCCTTGCCCTATCATATCACCCAGAGCGTAATGATTATGGTTAAGCAATGACAATCCGGTTCTTTCAAAAATAATAACTTATATCAGTGGCAACTTGTACAGGAGGAATAAATGTAAATAATTTTGACACTCACTAACAGTCGATCCGTCTGACCAAATCCAATTTCCATTTGGTTTTGAAACCATATCGATCCAGATTCGTTTTGTATTGATTTTGATTTTCTTCGCTAATGAACGAAGAGATGCGACGTCGTGAAATCTAGCCAGGTATCCTTTGAAACTTTTCCTGCACTCTTGACGAGCCGTAAGGGGGGTTCGACTTTGAATTCACAATGGCGAAGCAGTATTCGCTATCGGAGGCCTAGAAATTATAAAAGAAGAATTTAAAAATAACGTCAAGTGTTACTGTTAATGCTAGTTGATTGGAAACGGTCGTTTAATCGGAATTTATCTGAAACGACAACTACTAATACACAGTTCAAAATGTCTACAACAGTTGTTCTTAAAACCCCATAATCATTGCCTCCCTTCCGAATACTCTCAACACTTGTGAGCTCTTCTATAAAAATATACTCGGTTCTGCTTCCAATGTGTTCGAGTCAGTTAAATTTAATTAACCACTTGTAAAATAGAAAATCCAACAAGCGAATATAAGAGAAGAGATGCATTACAGTCGAATAATAAAACAGAAGATTTTAACTTATGGTAATCATCGCGAATGACACCCCGAGACAAGGTAAAGGTTTGATCGAGGCCATGCGTAGCGGATTCCTACGTGGCTCCTGATGCAAGATCCCGGTTTGAGAAACCTGGTTTGCACTATATGTGGACGATAGGGGATTTAAACCCGACGACGATATTGGATTCAAATATAAGGTGTATATATAATTGTTGACTACGACGTTATAGTCGTAAGTGCATTAGATTCGGGGCGTTCATACAAAAATATATTTGAATAAAAAAAAATGCCTTTATGGACGTCTCCATCTTTGACGGGCAAAAATTTGAAATAGATTAGCATATTGGTTGTGGATATAAAACGCTTTTTTACAACAACAACAACAAAAATAGCAACACTTTTGCGAACCGAATCATAGGTCCATTTTGTGTCCGAAAAAAAGAACTTTGGTACCCCCGTAGTGTGTGTACCAGCTTGGGGTTAGGCCATAATTTTGTTCCGATTCTCCTAATTTTAGTTCTATTACGAGTGCGGGGGCTGTCCGTGTTAGCCAAATAAATGTACCTTGGCCCATAGGTTTCAGTTTTTTTACACAACTTGATGTGAAGTAGACGAACAAAATTAGTTACCACCATATTGGTACACATACTTCTGGAGCGCCAGAATTTTACTTAATGGATAAGTCTGACTCAACGTCTGTGACACATGTTATCAGGTGGTGTCGTGACGTCTTAATAACGACACAGGAAATGAATTCGTCGGTGTCATCCAGACTCAGTTTGAACACGTGTCTTCATTGACTCATTTATTGGCGATGAATTTGTTTTGGTTTGCATTTGCTAATCATAATCGCAATTCACTGTTAATCAGGCCTGCTCCTGTTTTTACATTTGATAAGAACTAGGCCCGTCGACAGAACAGGTTTCGTTTGTGCACGGAATACACGAGCCAATAAGTTATTTTTCCAAAAACTTCGGTTATGCAGTATTTACGGCCTTTTAGATATTCTACTAGCGTTAATCGGCTTATACTAACACGTAAAGCGCGACCATTATGGTAGCTCTTTGGCCCCCATAATTTCGCCCAGAATGAATCGCTTTTAATTCGGAACGAGTGACCTTGTATTCTTAAATTAAAGATGGGTAAGATTTCTAGTCTTATGATCCTTTCCATTGCATTTGCCTTCCATCGTTCCAGCATGTACCAGTGTACTGGCATTTTCCGTTGTTCGGCAATAGATTACACGAGTATTTATTGCTACAGTGAGCGCGGCCTAGTGGCAGAAGCTTTAGACTTAACCATGAATCGAGAATCTCGGGTCGAATACAATGTTCACCACTTCCCCGGAGTACCAAGCAGTAGCTTCTTCTGCAGAGCCTTGTTTGGAGCGAAAGACGTAAAAAAAAATACCCTTAAATAACAAAAAATGCCAGGTACAGGCAAAAGGTCGAAGATGAGTTAACCCCTGACCTCGCAATTCAAGCATGAATTTAAAAATGGTAATTTGTCGCACATACATGTCTTGGCGAAATATATTTCAAATTTGGTATTTTTTCTATAAAGTTAATAACAACGTTGAATACGCTGAGGGCAAAGATGTTCGAATACCAAAATAGTGCCGAGAATGAATTTCGAATTCTGTCGCAATCATTACATTAATTTGGATATTCAAATCTCTCTCATACATTTACTTACACTTATCATAGTCCAATCAGGAGGAAGTGACGTCACAGGGCAATTCGAGGTTTCACAGGATGCGAAGCAGGTGATAAGAAGTATTATAATCCAATGATGATTCATGTTGGTCATAGGAATTCACTACAACCAGTATTTCGATCAATTGTAAATTCGATGCTTAGATATATATAGATGGACTAATAGAAAAAGAACAGATTGGCCTAAAAAAGTAAATTAAATTATTAGTAAATATTTAACTACGGACCTGCTTTTGGACTACCTTGTATGTTTATTTTTGTATAAAAAAAGTCTTGTTTCAAGCGAAGGTCAAAAGTACTCCGTGTGAACAGATCTACAACGTTTATGAAAATCCTATTGTTGACCTTTACGACAATCAAACAACGACAGTGGGAGTTAATTTCAAATTAATGAATAAATTAGAGTTTCTGAATTACCAAATCAATTACAAAAATAAAGCGGCAAACATGGGGCACTCCGGTATTCTAGATTCATCTCATAGCGAACCCGAAATCTCAGCCCGATAAATACACAACCATTAAGACATCAACCTGTTTGAATGTCAGACTCGATGCTCGTATACATATTGATAGGGGAACGGTTGAAAAAGCTTGGTAATCAAAATTGGAATTAAGGTTATTCCAAAAAACGACATATTAATTGTCCCAAAGTGGGTGCTAGATATTATCTAAATCATCGCAGTGGCGGCTTATCCAAAGCTTTGTTCGAGGCAAAGTTGAAAATACTCTAATAAGAGACTTGAAAAAAACACCCACGCCACGTTTTAAAAGAACAAATTAGTGATCATCCAGGGGTTAAAATGATTTGAAAATTTGAATTTCCAGCACAATCTGCATTCCCAATCCTTATTCCAACATCGATACTAGTTCTTTTATTTCATTTCATGGTGTTTTTTGTGGGGGGGGGGGGTTTGTGGGGGGGTGCAGTTATCGGATGTCGTCCGTCATATTATTAGGTTTCCTCGTCGGCCTACTGTAGGTAAAATTAAATTCAAGTGCGATAATTTACGCACAGTGTTGAGCTAAGAAGATTTATGTCTAGCCTAGACCGATATCGACTGCGTAGCAACAACAAATTCCAATACAGCTCGTTTCAAATAGAAGAATACCGATATCTTTTATGCGAACTTCATAAGGATTCGTTTTTGCTATCCGTCAAAGCTGAAATTGAAGCATTCTAGTACAAAACTGTATTGGAATTTCATTAATTAGGGTGTCACTAATAATATCCCACTCGGGTTTTATCATAATTACCACGTAGTGGAGAAAAGTTTGCGAGACGATCTAAAGGGGGCGCGTAACCTTTTCTGAGCAGTACTTTACCAAAACGTTTGAGCTCACTTTACTCCCTGTATACAAAATAGATATATAAATTCTATCCCGTGCTGTACTACGAATATCTCGCTAATGGTTGTCAGGTTTGCTAATACTACAACAACCGCACAAATTATGAAATCCTGTGACTGAATATCCGTCACTCTCGCAACATGGCAAATTTTGTCCACGATAACTAAAATTTGTGAGATAGGCCATACCTGGCCAATGGGTAGGTCAGCATTGCGTATATATCACGCATGGCGGGTGTAACAGTTAGTCATAATGCATCGTTGTTCCATCACACATCCGTATTATGATGCAACAATTCTTTAATGTTAGTCATCGTAAAATTACGTTCGAGGAATGGTGCTTATTCATCAATTGCAAATATGATAAATAATTTGTTCTTAAAATGTATTCATTGCAGTTATCAGTTATGCATTTTTCTTGTTATTTAACGGAAAAGGTCCAGGCCGCCCTTGCAGGTAGCCTCGATCTGTAGGAAGCTACTAATGTTGAGAGGACTGGGTTAATTCTAATTCGGCATCGCCTATTCAAATTATATCCCGCCCCCCCCCCCCCCCCCCCCATGAGAATAGCAAACATTTTACCCATTCTCGAATTTGTTAGCTAATTGGTCAAATCGTAACACTCCGTTGCTCAATTATTGCAGCGATAAAACTTACTTGAATATACAGAGAGATGGCTCTCTACTAGATACCCACGAAATTCGTGGAGTCTATGGATCGCGAATGTTTTGGGTTGCACTTAACTAAACTGGGAAACGAACAATCCGTACTATCATCTTTCCTTTCCATACAGATGCACAAAAAAATATATTACAGGATTTCAAAATAAACTTACTATCTACAAAATAAAGCACAAAACATGCTCAATTATAAAACAATAACTATTCCAAAATAGTACCATTTATTGCTAATACAGTAAAATCTCCATATTTTCCACAAAAGTTGCCATGAAACTAATACAAACCTACAGTGAAAAAATTACAAAAATTGATATGCAATTAGGGAGAAGAAACAATCTAAGCCAGTGGTTCTCAAACGGTGGGACGTGCCCCACAAGAGGGCGTATACAAATTTTTTGAGGGGGCGTGAAGCTCAAAAAAAGTAAAACTATTCGGTAGATTTGATCTTGTCCGCCTTAATTTGGATATTTACTTTCCATCCACTTATTTTCAATGTGTTTTTGAATAGAAGATACTTTCGCCTCACTATCTGTAACATGTTAAATGCAAGACTTGGTGGGCACATGTGTTTAGAGTATCTGAAAGGAAGCGACGAATTATCATTGAGTTTGAGAACCACTGGTCTAGTCCAATCCTTCGTTATTTGTGACAATGTTGCCTTATTACTACGAAAACATGCTAGATTAATATTTTTACAGATTGAAGATTCGTTGCAACAGTGTAAAATATAAAACAGTAGAAACAATATATATATATAACCAATATAGTCAGAAATTTATTGTCAGATACTTAGAATATGAAGAATGTTATATTAGGGCATACAAAACCAGCTGATATTGCTTTACTCTTGGAATTATGCCTGTTGCATTATTTGCATTTAGGTACTGTAGAGTCATTTTAGGCTATTTTTTTGTACAATGCTAATTCACGCTTTCAGTCCTGTACAGATATCTGACAGTATGCAAGGTGCTACTATTTAATGAAACGGAAAATATTACAATATTATCATAAGCAATTCTAACAAAAGTCATTTTCCTAAATTATCTGGATATCTACCAAGGAAAAATTAATCATTTCAACTTAAATAAATATATGACAATAAATTTCCAACTCAAATACAGGAAGATGAGAAAGTAATTATAAAACTATTCAGTTTGTTTTATCAGTCTGTTGTGAGGCCGGTTTCGATGCATCTGATCCTCCAGACAGTGGGGGAGCTTTATCAAATAATTCAGCTCGTTGTTTGACGACTTCTCGGATGATCACTGAAAGAAAAAAAGACGAAGGTTAATTTTTTAAATATACAATGCTTATTCACTGTGAACAAGGCCGGCTGTGAGACTTCTGATTTGGCATTATCTATCACAGTAGTTACCGACCTTTCATGGCTCGTGGTCCCTTTCCAGGGCCTTTTAGCACTTATAGCCCGCTGTTAATTATTCTTGTGGTATTTATAGTATTATTTTGATAAATTAATTTGTGGAATTTTTATAAAAGAGCTACGATGAGAGTTCTCCGAAGGAGCCCACAGGTTGTGAAAGTTTTAGAACCACTGCACAAAGTCCAAAAATTAATCCCACTACCCAGTAAAACACTTGTTAACGTCTCTCTAAAAACACTTACTGTCAAGCATGGTTCTTCCAACGACAGTCTCATCGACTCTCTTCACAACCTCATCCATAATCCAAGGCATGAATCCTTGCTCTACGTCTGAAAAATAAAGTGAAACATTTATAAAAAAAAAAAAAAAGTTGGGCAAAAAAAACAACAATTTGTGACCTAAGTATATGTGAATGACAAAAAATACTTTTTTCGGTACTCCCGTAGTATGTGTACTTATTCCGATTTTCCTTATTTTAGTTCAATTACGAGTTCAGGGACTGTCAGTGTTATCCAAGTGACCCCTGCCCATAGGTTTCATTCCCTTTACACAACTTGATGTGAAATAGGCAAACTAAATTAGTTACCTCCATATTGATACACATACTTTTGTGCTCTTAAAAAAGGTTTGAACAACGATTGATATCTAGAGAGTTACCATGTTATTGGGAGCACCAGAACATTCCCAAATGGCAATGCCTTCTCCTTTAGACAAATATTTTGGAATCAAACAAAAACCATGGCAATTTAACAAATTCCATATGGATAAACAGCAATTTCAATGTACCAATCTAATAATTTAATTTTGACAAGGTCCTGTAAAAGCAGTCACTATAATGAGCTATAAAAAATGAGCTTTTATAAAAAAAGTTACCTCTCTCTACAGGGTCGTAGAAATAGCCGTTATCTCTCAATGTGCTGAACACAGAAGGTACAAGATCTGCGAGGTAACTCTGAGCAAATGCACGAGCCGCAATCTTCTCTGCAGTTTCTCTTTCTTTTTTCAAAACTTCACGTTGTTGTTTCATTCGTCTTTCCTAGGAAATCAAAGATATGAAATTCATTATGAGGCGCAAGCAGAACTATGGATTGGGAATCATTTTGGTTCTGTTGTATTGTTATTGTTGTAAATAGGGAATTTTACGTTCAACTAAAGGACCAATTGGGTACAAATTTCTAGTACTTATACTACACCAATAAAGCAAAATCGCACTACTGAATACAAAATTTCATCCCAGTGTGATGTAGCACAATGTTGAAAGCGCCGTTGTAAATGAGAAAAAGTGATAAGCAAGTCAATGAGTTCCACTGCTAATTCCATGGTCTGTGTGTTGCACACCTCTGCCCTGAACACTATCCATTGCAGCCACAAAATTAAATTTGATATATTTAAAAAAAAAGCAAAACCGCCACAAACCTTTTCTTCGCTGTGCCTTCTCTCTTGTTCTTCCAGTCTTTGCATTTCCACCAATTCAGCATTTCTTAATTCTTCGAATTCTCTCTGTTGTTGCGTAAGTTGGCGAGCTCTTCTTCCTCCATGACTTCCAGCAAAGCTTGTTCCATGGTTTTGCCAACGAGAACTTCAAGTATTGGCTTAACTTCAATGTCAAAGTCAAACAGCTGGAAAAAGTAAAAATATTTCAGTAAAGCAACTCACATGTAACAAAAGTATTGACAATTTTACATTTAGTTTCCATGCTTTCTAGTCATTAAAGACAGCACATACAGTCTTATTAATATGCCGTTGTATTTACTGGTGTATATTAATAAGCCATCTCGGCGGTGTGGCTTCGTGCTAAACAGTGGGAATATGCTCGCCACCGCACCCCTGATTACCCTGCGTGGGTTTGCAGGTTCGAATAAATGCGGGGACAGTTATGTGTGAGAGGATCGCTGGACTCCTGCCGCCATAGGGTGGTTTGCGTAACCGGTTGTCGGTAACGGCTTCTGAAAACAAATAACTGGCCAACTAATCCCATACCAGACATGGACTGTTGACCAGACGAGATGCCGTGAATCGCCATATGATTTAGCCATCTTATCGCCTTTCCTCTCTCCTGGGATAAATATGTAAATCCCACCCTATCTTATTATGTATAGTTTCAGTAGCACTTGGCTTTTGGGTGGTCACCCATATCTTTACTCATATTAATAACTCCTTTACTTCTGAATAAGTGCATGTAATCCACCACCACAATTCTTTATAGTCTTAGTCTATCTTGAAATTTAAGTTGCCGTTAATAAGTTTGTTCAGAGATGAGTCTCATTTACTTCATAATCGGTGTACCACCATAATTATGTGGCCGTCAAACTTTGTCAAATTTTATTAATGCTGTATTGCTTCTTTGGACAGTTACAAAATTAGCCAAGTCAGTACTTTAATAAGTAAACGAATAGCTCACAGAGCTCCTAGGTTTCTTTAACGGATCCCTGGGGCTCCATATGAACGTTATGACGTTGCTTTCAGAATATTTCATAACCCAGGACACTAAAATATGCTAGCTATAGTGATACTTACATCTCCTTCGAGGATCTGTGTCGCCACATCTTTCCCAGTTTTAGCAGGAACAAATAGTGGAGAAGGGGGTCGATCTAAGAACGCATCTGTCTGTGTGTCAATATCAGCCTCTTCTATCCTGTAACAATAAAGCTGAAGGTCATTTTCATGGAAAAATATTCATAGGCTATTTCATAAAAATAAAAGCTCATTAAATCTTCAATTTTCAGATCTTATAAAAACCGGAAAATGATAGCAGTGACGGGACAATTGACTATGGCGCTGCTGTAACTGGGCCAAGTTCCGCTACTAAGTTTATTTGTCCTGAGAACTGTGTCCATCGGTCTAAGGTGCCGTTTACGGGATCGCCTGGTCTACAATAAACATTGATAATCTATTGTAAAATTTGGTGTTATTTAATGCACAATGTTCTAGATGCCTTTTTATGACATAAATGAAGCTATGATTTTTTGGACTGGGAAGTACTTTTTTGTAAAATTTAATTGTCGCTGGGGGAATGTTTTTCAAAAATATATTTGATGGTAGGGGTTTAATCTTTTATATTCAGACATTATAAGAACCAACTTACACAAGTCACTAAATCCCACCATTGGTAACAGTGCATAACGAAAAAATACCTGTCGCTAAGTTCTTCCAGATACAATTCAGTTTGCACTTCGATATGTTTTCGACCATCGACAGGCTCAGGTGATCGAGGACGCAGTTGATCCTTTGCTCGCTTCTTTGCAATTGCTCGACGACGAATCTCTTGCTGCCGTTGGATTTCTATCGGGTCAGGTTGCGCTGACTGCAAGTAGAATTTGGCATTTATGTGTATAGCCTATTTTCAATTTAGCTATATAAATATGCATAATATCAATATCATTTTCATTATAATGTAAATTAGAATAATAATAAGATGAGAGCGATATTTGCTTGGTCTAATGCTGACATGGGCAAACTACAACCTGCGGGGCGAATTTGTTGAGATTGCAATTAAATTTAGTTTTGGCACGATGCTTATTGTTATCCACTTTTTCTTTTGTAACTGTATTGTTCATAAAATGAAACTACTCAATTCACACTTACATGGCCCGCCAGTCTAGGCTGGCAAAATTTTTGGCCCAAGGTACAAAAAACTTTCCCTCCCCTGGTCTGACAGCTGTTATATAAATTTAAGTGACAATTCCAAGATTTGGTAACCTTTGCTCAACAAATTGTAAATGCCTGCATGTATATCAATGAAATTAGCAATGTGCATACAAAACAAATCAAAATTTGGAACTTACGGCAGGCAATGTGTGTTGTGCATAAGTGTTCCCTCTCACAATTCTTCTATCATACATAATGTTCCCATATGGAGCAGAGCCTTCATTTCTAAAAAATTGAAACCACTAGGTTACGGACAAAATAAGTGAACTTAGCTCATGAATGGATTAGAATAATATACCATGATTTTGTCGTGACAGACTTCATTTAAAAGATAATAAGAGAAATTTAATAGTAATTTTAAGGTAAAGAAAAAGGAGTAGTACGGCAAGCTCAATGGTATGAGGATATCAATACTTTTCATGGAATATTGTTATGCATTCTAGCAAAGAATAACAGTAGGGCACAATTCTCTGATTCCCAGATGTTCGGTATTAAGATCAATGAAACAAGCACTATTAGTTTTTGAAACAAAGGTGCCTGGCAAGGCGGCATCTTCGTTGCTGACTGTCATTCGCTAAACGCTCTCGAATGCTACAGTAAAATTCTTTTTCCATCGGAAATCAGGAATCCAATGATGACGCTTTCAGATTGAGCTTTTTTTAAATTTTTGCGCAATATAAGTTTGGAATTTTGTGGGGTTACGGAGGTGCCAAACTGATAAGATAGAAATATAATAAGTGACATATTCATAAAAAAGTGAGCCAAAATATAACTTACTGTTCATTGACAAACTGCCTGTATTTCCTTCTTCCCTGAACAGCATGTGGTTTGCTTTGAAACGTATAAGTTCCTTGGTCGGGCTGCTGAGGTATTACTGCAGTCATTTTTATGAAAATTGTAACAAAACTAAAAACTAAGAAAATATTGGAATATTAATAGTTATATTTTTGCCACAAGTAGATGAATAAAAAAAATTCGGGTCTGGTATAGTTTAGTACCACATGTACTTCTGGTTGGCCTGGCTCAACAATTTTTGCATATGTCATTCCTAACCCCTACTAGTTTGAAGTCACCGAAAAATTACGTCATTGCCACGTCACAGTGGCGTAATAAGGCCCACCAAAATATGCGGATAGTCGTCCGAAACACATAGACTATCATCCGAAACCGAGCAAGCTATTTCTCTTGTTTTCTCGTCGATCATGAGACATCGTCGGCGTTAGCGAGTTCGTTATCGGCGCAGATAGCATTTTGGGCAATCGTAATATACTTTGCAAGCTCTATGACGCGATGGTGACGTCGCAGTGATGTAATTGTTGGATGGCATAGTCAGGTGGGGGTTAGGAATACCATATGCAAAGTTCGTTATGCTGCGCCCACTGGAAGTACTTGGGTACTAAACTATCCTAGACAAATTCTTTAAAATGTAGGATACAGGAATAAGAGTGTCATTATTCTGGGCAAGCAAAATATGAGGATTGAAGATTATCAATAAGTTTTGAGTATGAAAATATTATGTAATTGGATAGATGAACTTGTATGATGGAGAGAGAGTAGCAACCCCAGGCAGGGTAATCAACAGTGCAATAACAAGAATAAGTATTATGCTACGGTAGTTAGTTTGGTAGTCTATGTTATATTGGGTGTGTGCTTGAAAAGTTGGCTGGACCTCATGCAAAGTAGTTTTACAACAGGGTATAAGTATTATGAATATGTCTGTATGTGCAAGAAATGTGCAAGAAAACTGCCGGACCCATCACATTCCATGCCCCTGAAACAAACGATTATTTCCATACCCGAAATGAACCGGTATCACTATTCAGACGAATATAACATGAGAGGTTTTGTGGGTTATCCCTTTACAGTCCATCTAGGAAAATATGAATATCCTATCATGATAAGGTGTAATAGTATGTTGACGTAAGTATTTTTTTTACCACAGTTACATATCAACTGATAACTGCTTTTTAGGATGATACAGCTATATACATCTTTATGCTTAGCACAGTTGCAGGGGATTCTTTCGAAACCCTTTGCATTATCAGTTTTTTTTCCACATGGCTTTCAAAACTTTTAGCTCATCGCGCTGCCCATTGAGATTGAACATAGTCAGATAGTGATGTCAAGTCCATGCATCTGAAAACAAATAACTGCCTAACTAATTCCATACCTGACATGGACTGGTAACCAGACGAGAGAATGTGGTTCGCCATATGGTTAAACCCTGTTATCCGATTTCCTCTCCCCTGAGATAAATATGTAAATCATATCCTACTGCTGAACTGGTATGGAACTGTTCAATGCTGAAATATATTCTAAAATACTATTAATACCGAAAAACCCAGGGAGCCTGGAATCAGTTTCATTTGGACTCTGTAACCAGTCCACGGGTCTAGTATAGTCTAGTACCACAAGTACTTTCGGTGGGTGTAGCATAAAGAAATTTGCATATGTTATTCCTAACCCCTACCTGACTATGTCATTCAAAAATTATGTCACTACGACGTCACATTCACGTCATAGAGCTTGCTAAAGTATAGCTTCGATCGCCCGAAAGGAAATATGCGCCAATGATAATGAACTCACTAACGCCAGCGGTCTCTCTCACATCGCGATTGTGGGGCTAGAAAACGAGAGAAATAGCTTGCCCGATTTCTAATGATCGTCTGCGCATTTTGGACGACCATCCTTACCCTTTGGACATCTTTATTACGCCACTGTGACGTCGTAATGACATACTTTTTTGGTGATGTTGTCAGGTGGGGGTTAGAAATGACATATGCAAAAATTATTGAGCATGGCCAACTAGAAGTGCATGTGATACTAAACTATACCAGACCCCAGTCCACAGATAAAAAAAATAGAAACGTGTTTATTTGAACAGAATTTTACCTAAAGAAAGTAAAGCTAAATCGAAATATATTTGAAAGGCGAAGCACTTTCAGACTTTGTATTAGACTACAGATAGCGGTTCGAGGTACGGTAGGGTGGCTTGGCCACATCAACTTCATCAATTAAATTGATGCAGAAAAATTTAACGAACCGCGACGATATTTCTCATGCGTTATTGTCCACTAATCCTCCGTAGCTCTGCGAAATTACACTAAAATGAGGCCACAAGCAAAAAAGTTACGACCGAATACCAGACCGAAGAAAAAAAACGGACCATTTTTTCATGTCGCCAACTACCCATTGTCCCTTAAATAAAATTTGAAAACTCATACAAATATAAGAGATAAAGAGATGAAACTTGGCAGGTGGGTAGAGTTGTGTTTCTTTTACCCATCTTCAAAGTTTTGCGTTTCTACATTTAGAGGAGGGGGAATAGGGGGATGCGCATTTCCACTACGTCGATATTATCTTTGTCGACCAATTTGCGGCCACCGTGTTTTTGTCTGTTTGATTGCTGTGATGCGGGGCTTTGTTTATGATTTGACGAGTTTTGTTCGAAATAACCGTGTTCTTAAAATATATGACAGACAGAAATGCAATTAGAAGCCCAATGTTTTCACGCATGGCTGCGTATGCTATAGTCTCAAGACTCTCAACGCAGTCTGTGGTCGCACACTTGTCGTTCGGTCGCAAATACGTCTCTCGAGTGTCGTACTTTGGTGGTTTGTATAGCTTTAACCCCTGTTCGTAAAAAGTTAATTCGAGGTTCAGCATGTAGAATGCCAATGCACCCACGATAAAAAAATTAACGGGTTAGAAATATTGGGTTTTGTTTTATGGCGGTTTGAATGAAATCACATCCACGTAAAATTATTGGATAAAAAATACGTTGAATCAGAGCAAAATGGACATACTTTGTCATTAATTTTAGGAGTGTTTTTACCTAGAATTATAGATAAAAAATATGTCAAATCAGAGCAAAAATAGACGTTTAACCTTTGACCCCAAACGTTATTTCTATACTTCGTCACCAACTTTGAGAGTGTTTGTGCGACTTTAGATACCGGTACTGTTCAGTACATCCGTGTCAAATTATTCTATAAAAAATACACTGATTCAGAGCCGTAACTGGCCAGCGTCGGTGAGGAGGCGTTCTTTTCGCCCATAATTCTTCTCACGAGATTCCTATCATGCAACTCGAACACGATATGGTCTTTTTTGCTTCGCTTTTTTCGATCAGGCCAAATCTTGCAAGCTAGTATTATTCGACAATTGTGGAGTTATAATTTTTTGGCATCTTTATATTACTGGATTATTGATTTAAAGACCATTTAAACCGATTTACATTGGTGAGCAATTGCAAAATTGAATTCGCTCGCGTGCATTTTTGCCGAGCGCTAGCGCCCTCAGACGTGAGCAACGTGAATCTGTCATGGAATCCAGTCTGGCCAGTGACGTAATAGAGCCCTTCAAACTGTACGAACTGCCATCCAAGACGCGCAAACGAGCACCCGAAATCGAACAGTTATTTCTCTCATTTTCTCGTCGCAAAAATTCCAATAGGAGAGAGATCGATACCATCAGTCAGTTCTTTATCGTCACATTTCGGGCGATCATACGTATATTTGGCAAGCTCTATGACGTGATTGTGATGTAATTATTAGATGGCGTAGTCAGATGGGGGTTAAGATTACCATATCAAAAATTGTTATGCTACGCCCACTAGAAGTACGTTAGGTACCGGTACGAAACCCCACCACCCTACCCTACGGTACTCAAATCCTGAATTCATCAATTTCCGTCAGTCGACGTTTTGATAACTTCATTCATATTAGGACTGTCAGACTGTAGGACCCTGTGTCCGTGTGTATGGCACCGGTGCACCGGTACTGTAATCTCTTATCTAACCTTAGATCAGGGTCGTCCAACCCGTGGCCCGCGAAAACATTTCAAGTGGCCCGCGCTGTATTTTTCGGAAAAATTGTACCGGTATTGTATTGCTGTATTATTTTTTTCGGAAAAATTGAGTATAACTATTATTCGAGTGATGTAGTATGCAAGGATACAAACGATTTGTTTATTTTCCTGAAATGCGCTCTGCCAGCCCTTTCAAACGAGCCATGAGTGCCAATTTGAATCGACCAACTGGGAAGATATATCGATACATAAAGGTGCCGTTGTCGCTACGTACCGACATACATAAAAATCACGGAAATAAAAGAGGCGTTTGCAAAAATAGGCATGTCAAGACAGACGATTCTCGTCGTGTTGAAGAGCAAAAGCGGGAAAGTTTTCATTGTATTCCTTGGCTCTTGACGAAAGCACTGACATCAAGTCTACTGCTAATCATGCGGGGAGTTAATGATGATTTTAAAATCACCGAGAAGCTCTCAGCCATTGTCCCAATTAAGGGCACGACTCCAGGCATTGGTTTGTTGGGAGCTGTGATGAAAATGATGTGATGAAAAGTGAAAAATGATGTGATGAAAGCGTCTTGGCTCGTCTTTGGCAAAACTTTGGGAATAACCACTGATGGCGGCCCATCAGACGTTGGGAAACAACAGTTTTATTGTTCTAATAATTGTGAATGTTTGGCGTGAGGGTACCGGTATTGTTTGTTTTTTCATTAGTCTGTAGTCAGTGTAGCAAAACTAAAACATAACTACCATGTTAAGTGGCCCGCGCACTTAATAGTAAACTAAGTGTGGCCCTTCGGTCAAAAAGGTTGGACGACCCTGCCTTAGATAGATAGTTTTATTTCGAAAACTCCACAATCTGCAGATCTGACAATACAAACAAATAGAAAATTCCCTGTAGCATTACTCTGGCTTATCTGATTCTGTAATCAGTTTCATTTAGTTTGTTTTCTTCAACAATTTTGCTGATTATGGAGTCAAAATAAACCTATAATTACACCTCAATTAGCAACAAACCCTAATAAACGCGACCCTCCCTAGACTTCTCGGAATCCCGAAACTAATGGTTACAAAACTAGTGAGTCGTGACCAAATGGAATATTCATCC